AGATAATCAGTTAATTTGAGACTTAATGGATTTTTAGTTTAAATTTAACACCCCGGCTTTCGTAAGTCAAGTAACACCGGTCCACGATGATACTGACCGTGGTTACGGCTGTAACTAAATTTTGACGTAAGTAGACATAATTATTAGGCTAGTATACAATCATATATGAGGGGAGTACATAACTTGAAATGAAACAGTTGGACACTCGACACATCCGTGCATTAACAATTAGCAATGCAGTTATGTTGGCATTATTCCGCTGACTCAAGTCAGTTTCTGCAAGACACGAATCAATCGAACAGTCAGTTCTACAGCGACTGTGATGTCTTTGGTCGAGTCCCCTTCACGACCGACTGGCTGAAAGAGTGGAGTAAGTAGACTTGGAACTAATTAATTAATTAGTTAGAGATCTGAAATCATGCAATAACTGTTCAGCTCATGGAATACGGTCAAGACTGTGATTTGAATTTGGGACAGTTACCTTTCTGATCAGGGGGCCCAGACCCAGCCATGAGAAACTGATACGAGTCTAACGCCTGAGCCCAAGGACCTGGATATGGGTATGCTGGAGGACACGCACCCCGACCACGACTTTTACCAGCTGTTCTCCGAGCCGGCCAACGTTGGGTTCAGCGGTCTGGCTAGGTACCGTACATGGGTGATTGGGTCACACCGACGGCATTCCACATGTCTGTACGACCCTTACGTGCTGCAGTCCAGGTTGTTAGACGCGTTTCAAAAGCATGTTGCAGCAGGGGTGGCAGACTTTTTGGTAGCGTCGAAACCTGAGATTTGCCTTGAAGCCTCCCTTCGTGCCCTCCATCTTGGGGTGCCCTACCAACACAACCAGAGTGACCTGCGGTACCTTCTCAACGAGAGAGAAGAAACTTGCAGGCAGCAGTTGGACACGAAGTACATGCAAAGGTACAATGTTTTTCCCTGTGCGAATGACAACCTAGTGTACTTCCTAGGAGACTCGGCACAGTATTGCACGTGGTCGGCTGTTTCCAATAAGATCCCAACCTACCGGTGCAATGCTCGTACAGCAGTGTATTGGTTGCCGAGCCAGAGGCGCTGGTTGACCAGCAAAGAAAGGCTTTGTAGCATGGGTTTCCCGTGCACACCTGAGGTGGCAAACGCCATGCAGGTGCCACTTTTGGGTGCGACAGACATCCAACGAGCAGCAGATCTGTGCGGGAACGGGATGCATTTTAGCACCTGCGCAATAATGCAACTTATTGCACTGTCATGTTTTGGCCCTGCTGCTGATACTGGGTCATCCTGGCCAAGCAGCTGACAGTGACTGTGCCGAGAGCTAGGCCAGCTAGGCGGTTAACGGGTTAGCCTAGGTCCTTATTAGGTAGACTCAGCCAGTAAACTTTAACTAGTAGAGGGTAATTTCAATTGAATTAATTAAAGTCTTAGAGGTCAGGTGTTACAGATTACAGAGTTACAGTGGTCGTCACAATTAATTAAATTATTGTCTGGCCCGACCTGACTCAGCCTCACCTCAGCCTCAGTCACACGAGACTCTCATACTCGTCCTTAGTAGATTCTTGGCCAAGTCACTATCAGTCAGTGTTAGCTGCTGAGTCTTGTG